AGTTTGCAGGTTAAACCCGTGCGCGCAGTTGAATTTTTATATATATACATATATTGTTGAACACGGCAAATAGAAGAATTTCTTGTACGTATATATTATTAACCCTTAATAGAGGTACATATATAAGAAAAAAAGAATCAAGACTCCTACTCTAAGAAGGAGAATCAACTGTACAAGGAAAATAAATAAAATTCCCTACAATCTCGGGATCTATAGAAATCTTCTCGGCTAACACTCCCCCTCAAGTTGGTGCATAGATGTTTATCATGCCCAACTTGTTTATCACGTTGTGAAATTCTTTTCCCGATACTGCCTTGGTGAGGACATCAGCTAGTTGACTAGCAGATTTGACAAACGGAAAACATATGACCCTTTGATCAAGTTTTTCTTTGATAAAACGACGATCTACTTCCACATGCTTAGTTCGATCATGCTGAACAGGATTATGTGCAATTTGAATTGCTGCCTTGTTATCACAATACAACTTCATAGGTACTTTATATTCTACCCCTAAATCCTTCACGACGCTCTTGATCCATAACAATTCACATAATCCTTGAGCCATTCCTCGAAACTCCGCTTCTGCACTAGATCGTGCTACAACTTTCTGCTTTTTACTTCTCCAAGTAACGAGATTTCCCTCCACAAAGGTTAGATAGCCAGATGTAGACCTCCTCGTTGTTTGATCTCCCGCCCAATCTGCATCAGTATAACCTTCAACATTTAAAGCATCATTATTCGAGTACAATAAACCCTTGTCGGGAGTACCTTTAAGATATCTCAAAATTCTATAGACCGCTTCCATATGCTCTTCGCTTGGTGCATGCATAAATTGGCTCACAATACTTACGGCATATGCTATATCAGGTCTGGTATGGGTTAGATAAATGAGTCTACCCACAAGCCTTTGATACCGACCTATATCTGTAGGAACTTGATTCGGAAAAATCCCAAGCCCATGATTCACTTCGATTGGAGTTTCAGCAGGTTTGCAAGCTAGCATCCCAGTTTCACTTAGTAAATCCAATACGTATTTACACTGTGAAAGGGAAATTCCAAATTTAGATCTTGCTACCTCGATGCCAAGAAAGTACCTTAGTTGTCCTAAATCTTTCATTTCGAACTCTGCGAATAAATATTCTCGGAGCTGCTTCATTTCTTCAGGATCATCACCTGTCAAAATCATATCGTCTACGTACACAATCAATGCAGTGACTTTACCTTCTTTATGCTTCACAAATAAAGTATGGTCTGCATTACTTTGTTCGTATCCTATCTTTTTCATTGCCGAAGTAAACCTCCCGAACCAAGCCCTTGGTGACTGCTTGAGACCATAGAGGGATCTCTTTAATTTGCACACTTCACCTTCGTGCTTGGAACTTTCGCGTATTCCCGGTGGAAGTTCCATATAAACTTCTTCCTCCAAATCGCCATTCAAGAAAGCATTTTTTACGTCGAATTGTTGCAAAGGCCAATCTCGATTTGCAGCGACAGATATGAGAATGCGGATAGTATTGAGCTTGGCTACTGGTGCAAAGGTCTCTTGATAATCAATACCATATTTTTGAGCATATCCTTTGGCGACGAGTCTCACCTTATACCTGTCTATACTTCCATCAGCCTTAAGTTTAACAGTATACACCCATCTACAACCAATTGGCTTCTTTCCTATTGGTAATGGAACAATCTCCCAAGTGGAATTCTTCTGTAAAGCTTTCATCTCTTCGTTCATAGCGTTTTTCCACTTTGGATCTGCCAATGCATCCTGCACATTACTAGGAATAGACACTTCGGATAATTGATTAATGGTTAGTGCATAAGATTCCGAAAAACTATGAGTAGAGACATAGTTATTGATAGGATATTTCAACTTGGTATTAAGATTAGGCTCATAAAGTTTTCTGGGAATTCCTTTATTAGGCCTTTGAGAATACCTGGGAATGGTTGGGGATGGACACTCGGCAACATAATCATCCAAGATATTCTGGGAAGAAGACTCTTCGGTTGGTGGTGTGGGCAACTCAACTATCTCGGCTTCTTCGTCGTTGAGATTCTCAATTTCTGGGTCATCACCACCATCTCCATCTTCACAAGATTCATTGCTTAAGCACTGATCATTATGCTCAATGCTATGCATACTTTGTTCCAAGGTTTCCAACTCCATAAATGCGTCATTCGCATTATTTTTATCAACAAAGGTATCGTCTTTATCCACATTCTCCCCCTGAAGACGAGAGCTAGAATTTGCAGCAGAATAATAAGGTTCATTTTCATGGAAAGAGACATTAAGAGAGACATGCAATTTCCGAGTTTTAGGGTCGTAACACCTATACCCCTTTTGAAAATCAGAATAACCAACAAATATACAACGTGCAGCACATGGATCAAGTTTACCGCGCAAAACTTTGGGTATATGAACATACACTGTGCAACCAAAGATTCTGGGTTCGAGGTTCGGTTGATGGGGTACGTCAAAAAAGGTCTGTAATTTTTTGTGTGGAGTTTGAAAACTAATAACTCGAGAATGCACCCTATTAATCAAATAAACAGCAGACTTAACGGCTTCTCCCCAATAAAATCGAGGCACGTTCATTCCAAAGATAGATGCACGTACGACTTCCATAATTTGTCTATTTTTTCGCTCTGCAAGACTATTTTGTTGAGGCGTATAAGTGCAAGAAGTGTGATGTCTAATTCCTTGTTTTCGAAGAAAATCACCAAATGAACGGTCAAGGAATTCCATTGCATTATCTGATTGCCATACTCGAATTTGTCTTTGAAATTGGGTTTTCACCATGGTGTGAAATTCTTGAAAAGCAACACCAGCATCACTTTTCTGACGAAGTAAATGTATCCAAGTCATTCGAGTGTATTCATCAATGAATGTAATAAAATAACGAGCTTTAGAAATAGACGGAATTTTTGCAGGCCCCCAAATATCAGAATGAATAACCATAAACGGTTCAGAACTTTTATTAAAAGAAGGGAAATACGGTTTTTGATGGCTTTTTGCAATTTCACAAATATCACACTGAAAATTCGAAAGATTCAATCCAGTAAACAAATTAGGTCTCAATTTTCTAAGATAACCAAATGAAAGGTGTCCAAGTCTCCTATGCCACAACCACGCATCAGTTTGTACTTGATCACTCGTCGTCAAGGAAGCCTTGCTACACTGCTCGCCGAGTTTCGTTAATTCTAAGTAGTAGAGATTGCCACGTTTAACACCACAACCAAGAGTCTTCCGGGTCAGAATATCCTGAAAGACACAAAATGTTGGCCAAAAAGTAACGATACAATTTAGTGCTGAGGTAATTTGGCTAACAGATAACAAATTATATTCGAGATTAGGAACAATTAAAACGGTATCGAGTGTTATGGCATTGGATAGGACAATTGACCCTTCTCCTGTAATAGGAGAAGTACCACCATTGGCAGTAGATATGACCTGTTGGGATGAAGGGCGAGTTTTTTTCAATATACTAGGGTCTCTAGTCATATGTTCGGATGCACCAGTATCAATAATCCAAGTATTATTCTTAGTAATGGCAGAAAAAATTCGAGCTTTAGCAACACTACCTGGTTGAGTTACATTGGCACTAGGTAATGAAAGTTGTTCCCGAGGTTGAAGATCTTCTTCTGTTATAGCCACTGCAGCTTTGCCGGTAACATTCTTCCTCGGCTTTTTTGAAAAATCCCACCATTCGGGGTATCCAATGAGCTCATAACAACGTTGTTTTGAATGGCCGGGCTCACCACAATGAGTGCAAGCGTAGTTACTCAATTTTCCCGAACCTTGACCATTTTTTCCTTTGCCATAATTGAAACTTTCCCCTCGCCGATTTCGATTAGCTATCATAGCTGTATTTTCGGAGATCAGTTTAGACGTTCCCATGACTTGTCGTTGTTGTGACTCTCTTCTCACGCATGCGTAGGCACATTCCAGGTCCAACTTCGGGTCTTTTCGAAGAATTTCTCCTCGAATCTGATCATATTCAGAATCGAGGCCGCTTAGAAAAATATGAACTCGCAAACGCATCATTGTCGAGTGAACTTGTAAGAGCCCTTCAACCGATTCTTCTTGGGCGGTGTTTCGGTGATCAATTTCTTGGAAGATTGCAACCAATTCATTGTAATATGTAGATACAGGCCTCCCATTCTGAGTTGTCGAAAAAGATTTTTGATTTAATTCGAATAATCGTGTTTCGTCAGATCCATCGTAGAAAGTCTTTGACACTGCCTCCCATATTTCCTTTGCTGTTCCAAGACGAATAAATCGTTGCATCAGGTGAGGGCTCATTGAATCGATGAGCCAACTCTTCACTTTGTGGTTTTCGGTAATCCATGTATCATAATTCGGATCTTCAAGTGCGGGTTTTTTCGTTGCTCCTGTTAGATACCCAACTTTGTTGCGAGCTCCAATTCGCATCTCCATCAACTGCGACCATAATGGACAATTAGTTTCGTTCAACACAATACTAACAGGAAAGCCGGAGTTTTCTTGTTGGATAATAATCGGGGCTGGAGCAATTGAAGTTTTTTCTTTTTCAGTCATTGTAATTCCGTGTGAAGATTCGAAGTTATTCGAGAAGGGTATAAGGAATCAATAATGGTGACAAAAGAAATTGATTCGTAGAAGAAAAAAAAAAAAAATTGGATCAACCATGCTCTGGTACCATGTTGAACACGGCAAAGAGAAGAATTTCTTGTACGTATATATTATTAACCCTTAATAGAGGTACATATATAAGAAAAAAAGAATCAAGACTCCTACTCTAAGAAGGAGAATCAACTGTACAAGGAAAGTAAATAAAATTCCCTACAATCTCGGGATCTATAGAAATCTTCTCGGCTAACATATATATTATGCAAGACAATTCTTATAGGCATCTCTCTTAGTCTAATTACTCAACATTGGTATTGAGGAAAATTGGTCACAAGGTTTTAAAAGGTTGTATAAGTTAATTTTTTTTTTTCTTTTTTTGGTATGATTACAAATATAACCGCAGTCACTCAAAATAGTATATATGTCAACTTGAATTATAATTCTGTTACATACACTTTGCTACTGCCCCTGTATTAGCATGTTTATTTCTTGGTCAAAGGTCTGCAATATAAACACACACGGAGAAATACATTGCAACTCTATTTAATTACATATAATGTGAATTATTTCAAAGACATAAGTAAGTCCGTACGAACATTAAAATAGTACAAAACTCGGGTTAAAAATCAATCGATCGATCACTTGTAAGCTGCCATGCCAACTCCTGCTTCTCCTCCTCCATAAGAACCGAAATTTCCCCTAGCGTTAGACGACGAAAAACTCACATAATAGAACTCAGATATTAAGCCAGTCAAGAAAACGAAAGCCGCCCCCGCTGCAAAAACACCCTTTCTCACCGTCTCACAAGACGGTGGATTCTCGAAGAACCTCGTCCTGTACTTTGTGTGGTACGCATTCCTCACCGAACCGGCCAACAAACAAATCTCCGCTATGATAAATGTCACCCTACATATAAGCATATCAAACAAACACAAATATTTTCATTTTTCTATATTCATTTAAACAATTTATTGGAAAAAAAGAAAAACACTTCTCGTCCCTGAAGTTTACTTCAATTTCACATTTGGTCTCCCTTGTTCGCAGAATACAGATTTAGTTCCTCATGTTTCAATAATTTAACACTTTAGGTCATTTCCGTCAATTTACAGTGATCAACACATTTTTGATTCCGTAATTAAGTACTAACGAAAAATTGACAGAAATTACCAGAAGTGATAAATTTCTTGAAGCACGAGGGACTGAACCTATTTTTATCTTTTCTTTTTGGTAAATAAAAGAAGAACGAAATGTGAAATCGAGGGATTAGAAGTGTATTTTTCCCTATACTTAATAAAAGTAGCATACCAACAAACGAGGAAAAGAAGAAGAGCACAAGCCCTCGAGCCGCCAGGTTTAAGTGGATTCCCACAGCAGAAGCATTTGCTTGCCACCATTATAAGCGCTTGACTCGCCATGAGGAACAAAAGTGCACCGACACCATATCCGGTTGCGATATCGGAGTCGTAAACGCAGTAGTTGTAGTCATCTTCGGCATCTGCCGTCGATATGCCCTACAAATTAATATTACATTTATAAATATTTGTTGCATGATGATCTGAAAAGAAGACAACGAAAAAAAGTACTTACGGTGCTTCTCCTCTGTTCGGCAGCAACAGCCAAACCGAAAGCTATAAGATCGAAAATCAAGACAACGATCATTACAATTTTCGAAGCCATGGATGGATATATAACTTATTGATTCCTTTTCTCTCTCTATATATGGTTGGAGTTTCCCTCTCTAGATCTCTCTGCATATATACATACATATATGTATGTATATGTGTTTACATGTCATGATCAGATCCAGGAATAGAGTAAACAAGAAGCAGAAGAACTGCAACTACTGATACATAAACATTTGATAGCATATTTGTTTGTGTAACCTCCAGATTATGACAGCTCAACACTACAGATCAGCAGTAACTACCACTGTTGCGTAATTTTTGGACCAAGTATTTTTTTTTTCGATGAGGAACAAATTATAGAGGTAGATCGGGTAAACCTCAGTTCTCGTAAAACAGCTTGCAAATTTAATCAAGTGGGAAATTCAGATCACACTAGACATAAATTATATATATATATAAGTTATGGCAAATTACGGCCATCACTAAGACATGGATAAATTACGAAAAAAAACCCTCTTGTTTGGCTAATTATAGCCACCCCTCCTTTTAAATATTTTTACATAAAATTTATGTAATTCGATTATTTATCGACAAATCGTATATTCAGTTCGGTAAACGGTATGAAATGTTGGCGTACCGAAATTTCAGTTCGGTTTTACCGATTTAACATCCCTAAATTTATCTCTGGAGAGGTATTTTCGTAAATAATACATACTTGAAGGAGTGACTGTAACCACGCAAACAAAAGGGATTTTTTTCGTAATTTGACCATAGCTCAAGAGTGACCGTAATTTGTCCTGTAAGTTATTGTTGGAGAATAAATATTACATTGGATTTTTTATAAAATACTTAAAAATAGCTTTCATATTTTTTGAGTTATTTCTATAAATAAGAGGTCCACGTGGTAATTCAGCCTAAGGCTATCTCCAACAGCTCGTTTAAAAATGGTTGTCTATATCTATAATTTAGCATATCAACAGTGTTATACAACACCACTTTTAACATCACACTCCAACAACATTGTTTATATTTTACACAATTATTATATTTTATTATTTTTCAAAAATTAATTTTTAATTAATTTCAAAAAAAATATTTCAAGGACCATAGTCCAACAACTATATTATAAAAATCATTTAAAAAATTATTAAAAATAATAATAATAACTAATATTTTTTTAATATTATTAATAAAGAAGTATTATATATAATAATTTTGTCAATATACTTTCAAATTAGGATAATTTAATTAATTAAAAAAATTACTTGGAGTTGAACTACCATATTTTGTGGTTGAATGGGATTTAGTATGATTATTTTATTATTTTAAATGTTTAAACAATTTGTTAAAAATTAACTTTGGTTGTCCAAATTTGAGAAACCAAAGTTACATTTTTACATATTCTAAGCTTTTGTATTCTGTTGTTGGAGATGTGATTTTTGATTGAAATTGTGTAAAATATGTAAATTATAGGTTTGCATCACCTTGTTGGAGTTGTTCTAATAGATCCAAAGTTCCAAACACGTCTTTTTTCTTTCCCTTTTTTTTTTTTTGTTTTTTTGAGATGAAACACGTATTTTATTTCTATAAATACACAATCTTCTACATACGATAAAAATCTTATTCTTGACCGAAATCTATTGGCTGATCTCCAAAAAATAAAAATTGACTAAGTCAACATTGAATAAAACCCAATTATTTAATTAAACATAATTTATCTTGCCAATCGAGGCCCTCTTAATTATTTAAGTTAGATTAGGACTTCTTTTAATTTCCATCTCTATATAAAGAGAATAGATTCTTCAAAACTATGTATCTTATGCTGGTTAATATTCTATAATAACTTTGTTTTGATTGAATCCAGGTTGTCTGGTTATTAACTTGTTTACTAGTACGATATGGTATTACCGGAGGATTTCGGCTTCGGCGATTCGATTCTATATAGGAAGGATAGAATAGAAGTCGTTACTAGTGCATCGTCTCTCGTAAGTTATCGTAAAGCAAAAAGAAATAGACATGGCTCCGACAGGGACGAGAGGATTGCTAGAGAATCATGTCGTGGTCGAGACAACAAATCGCGCGGGGAAGAGTACCGCAGAAGAAAGAGAAGTAGATACAATAACCTGTCTACGAGGAATTTGAATGTGACTGTAGTTGATGAATTATTATTATCTCGGTGGGATATGGTTATCCCTCCCCCGGCTGTAATTCGGGCTTCGGGCCCCTCTGTTCGGTCTTCGGGTTCAAAACCTAGTGGGGATTCTAGTCACGTTGACTCGTTTTTGAGTAAGGTGCCGTCGTTAGATGAGGAGGAAAGTTATAGTTTGGAAAATAAATATCATGAAGATATGAATCATGAGATATCAAAAAGTATGTATGTAATAGAGAAATAGATTTTTAATCTAATATAAATTCCTGTTTATAATTAAGGGCTAAATACAGTTTACACCCTTAAAGTATAGGGGTGGTAACACTTACCCCCTTAAAGTTACAAATGTAACACTTACCCCCCTCATTAATGAATTTAAAGGTAAAACTTTGACTTTCAATGATGTGGCATTTTTTCTTCCCAAATTATCCTTCTAGCTATTATATAAATAATGAATATGTAATAATAAAAAATTCGGCAACTTTGCAAAAACTAAATTTTATTATTTCAATATTGTAAATTTACGAATGAAAAAAATTGAATTTTAGTTTCATTTTTGTTTTACCTTGTGTTCATTTATAGCTAATAAAAAGTTAACAATTATTCGAATTTTAATAATGATTTTATAGTTTATATAGTTATATTAATGCGTATATGACTCTAATATAATCATCTGACTTTTTACTTTGAGAATCACAAAATGTATTCAAAAGTTAATAAGAAATTATAATTTAAACGTCTAAATATTTAAATATTTTTTTATTGAAATTTATATTTAAGTAATTGAAATAAATTTTCAAATCAATAATTATTATAAAAAAAAAAAATTTGGACGTTTAAGTCTTGAAATTATTTTTTTTCTTGCAAATGTTTAACGTATTTTAAATATTTTTTTAAAAATATTGAGATTTTTATTTATATTAGGGTCCATAGTAATTAAAATGTGGAGTTAAACATAAATCAAAATATTTTTTTAATAATTATTACATTTTATAAAATTTAGTTTTTGAAATATTATTGAAAATATATTATTATATATGCATTAATATAATAGCTACAAGAACAATTTGGGAAGAAAAAATGTCACATCATTCAAAGTCAAAGTTTTATCATTAAATTCATTAATGAGGGGGGTAAGTGTTACATTTGTAACTTTAAGGGGGTAAGTGTTACCAGCCCTATACTTTAAGGGTGCAAACTGTATTTAGCCCTATAATTAACTCTGGAATATTTCCTTCTAGGAATTTTGTGATATATTTACTAATAATTTCGTTCTTGTTTTTAGATTCCGGTTTTTTTCCAACTTTTTTTTTTCTTCTTCTTTATCAAAATTAGATCAGAATTAGATGTCTACATAAAGTTTTAAAAAAATTCCAAAATTTTATATTAGACTTCAATACAAAAACAACTAATGAAAAATATTTCGACGGATCTTAATCGTCTCAATGCTTAAAATCGTCTCAATGCTTAAAATCGAGATGTAAGATTTTGAGAAAATTAGGTCGAGGTTTTGAAGCCTAAACGACATTGCGCGAGTCGACGGATCTTAATCGTCTCAATGCTTAAAATCGAGATGTAAGATTTTGAGAAAATTTAGACGAGGTTTGAGGCCTAAATGACATCGCGCGAGTCGATCGACAAAAAAATGACGTAGAACGAATTTTTTCGGTTTTTCTGGAAAAAACACTCGGTTGGCATCGGTTGGAAGAGATGTAATCAAAAGTAAGAGTTACCCTCAAGCGTGTTTAATTTGTTATAACCTCGAATTTAGAAGACACTAAGATCCTTTAAATTTTTTGATTCTCTTAAATGCGCAGCTATTCAAAGTGCAATTGGTAAACTCTGTTCTCGTTCGATAGCTTGTAAACTGCATCGCACATGTAGACTACACTATGATAACTATGTGCAAGGAACTTAGAGCCTGTTTGGCTAAGCTTATAAGCTCCTAAAAACATCTTATAAGATGTTTAAGAGCTTATAAGATGTTAAAAAGTGTTTGGTAAAAAAATTCGAAAAGATCTTATTTTTTCAAAAAATAAGCTGTTAGGGAGCTTATAAGATGTTTTTAAAAAAGTACCTCCACCCCACCTTTTTTCAATAAGATCTCATTTGCTTCTTTACTAAAACACTTAAAATACAAAATTACCCTCAAATACTTTATTATATTACATGAATACTAATAACATTTATATTTTATCTAAACAACATATTCTTGTAATCAAGATTAATAATTAGTTAAAATATAATTATCATAATAATTGTAAAAAAAAATGTTCTCTATTTATATTTTATATGTATATAAAAATACCCAAATATTCTTATTATCTCAATAATAAATTATATTTCTTTTATCTAGCTATAAAAAAATATACATTTCTTTTACAACCTTTATATTATTATTTATTAATATATTAATGGGAGAAAAATTAAAACTTTCACAAATCTGTTTCATTAAAATATTTTATTACACTTCATTTTATTTTAAAAAATTGTCAAATGTCATATCAACATACATAAAAAAATATTTGGTATGTTTAATATATAATTTTATATTATTATTTTTATTTGAAAAATTAATTTGTAAATATTATTATAATAACATTTTAGGAACAAAATTATTTAAGTCGAATTAGTTTGACAGTTATAATGGCGTCATGTACTTTTTTGTCATTATAGTGATAAACAGACCTTTTATTTCCAAACACCTGATTAACTTATAAAAACTAAAATTAACTTATAAGTTACATATCCAAACACCTTAAAAATTAATTTTTAAAATAAGATCTAACAGCTTATCAGCTCCTAAAACATCTTATCAGATGTAGGAGCTTATAAGATGTTTTAAATAAGCTTAGCCAAACGGGCTCTTAGCCTAAAAAAAGTTGATGACAAATTGATTCATTGTTGGGCTTGAAATCACTTTTCTAACATTGAATGGACTAGTTGAAACTTGGAAGGACAAAAGGAAAAAAAAAAAAAAAGGTAATTCAATTAATTAATAGAAAATATTAATTAAAAGGAAATAGTTAGAAGGAAACGATAAAAGGTAAGTTGGATAAAATGTTATATAAGTTAAAATGAATAAAAGTGAAACGCTTAAACTGAAAATCCAAAGAATTAAAAGAAGAGATTTTCTTACCCACGATTTTGCAGCAATATTAGTGTGTCATTATTTACTTTTCCTTTCATAGAATGTGAAAAACACTAAACGTTTTATATTTATCGTATCATATATATATATATATCTATTTGGAAAATATAATGTTATCCTTTAATCTTTCTTTCACACTAATTAATTTGATTTTTTACTGCACTTGTTTTCTTATTAACTAAGACATCCAAGTGTGTGTGTGTGTATATATACATACATATATATTTGAAGATAAAAAAAGAGAGCTGAAAATGTTTTGTACGATTTTCCGGTCGATCGAAGGAGCATCGAGATGGAGAAAAGCTTCCAAATGGTACGTACGTACTTTGTTTGTTAGCCTTAGTTCCGGTTGTTTTTTCCTTGTCTATATATTTTTTACTTGTCTTGATGACCTAAAAATGTATTGGCCACTAATTAATTTCTGGTTGCAGCAAAATCTTGATTAAAGAAGTCAAGATTCGTCTGGCATACGAAAAGAGGAGAAAATGCGCGATCGTTAGGCAATCGTGCACTGATATTGCGCAACTCCTTCACGATGGACACCGTGAACTTGCTCTCTCAAGGGTACATGTTCTACTTCATCTCCACAACATCCATGCATATATATGAATGTATATATATAAATATGATGTCAATTTTTAGGTTGAGAAACTGCACAAAGACAGATGCAAGGTATCTGCATATGATCAATTTGATGGATTCTGTGATTGCATTCTTGACAACCTTCATCACATTGCCCGGCCTAAGTAAGTCTCTCTCTCTCTCTCTCTCTCTCTCTCTCTCTCTCTCTCTCTCTCTCTCTCTCTCTCTCTCTCTCTCTCTCTCTCTCTCTCTCTCTCTCTCTCTTAGCTGCGATATTGTGGTTTTTTTTATTGCTGCAGCAAACTACCGATTGAGGTAAGTGAAGCGGTGTCATGTTTGATATTCGGTGCGTCAAGATGCGGAGAATTGCCGGAGTTGCATTCCCTGAGAAATTTATTCAAACAACATTTCGGTCCGAAATTCGAAAGAACCAACGTGGAACTGCTATCAGGACACTCTGTCGACTCCAGATTAATTGATAACCTCAATACGGCGTCACTGCCGCAAAATGTAAATCGGATGCAGTTATTACAGGAAATACAAAAGGATTATATAATCCATCCAAATATCAAGAAGGTGATTGATTAAATTATTTTTATAATTTCGCGAAAACAGCTATTATTATTTACCCTGCTTTGATGAAATCATATTATTGTTTTTTTTTTTTTTTTTTTTTTTTTCGCGCAGCAAAACGAAAAGCCTCACGATCATGATCAGAGAGCAATGTATGATGGAGTTATTAATTTGGAAAATGAAGATCAAATTCATGCCTCCAAATTTGAGGAGATGGTGAAGAAAATGGGGAGAACTCTTTCTGCTTTTGCCAACTATGGTCAAGCTCAAGAGTTTTACAGGGACAAAAAAGTAATTTCGAACTCTCTATCGAGCCATGTCCATCCCAGACGATAAAATTGGCAAAAAACATTCACACTTTACATCCATTTTTGTATTTGGAGTTCGGTTCGGCACATAAATTCCAATGGCTTATTGGAGAGATCAATGTTTCTTGTTGAAGTGATTTAAATTTCGTGTTATTATGGATATTCTCCGGAGTTTCTTTACACAAGAGATTTTTGTCTCCGTGTGACCATCATCTTCTCACGAGATCAGTCAGCCTTCGTTGGATTTCTTTCCACAAACACACAAATACAAATAAAGCCAAACATAAATAAAACTAACACCGTGCCAATTGAATTTGGAGTACTGCCGAGACTCTCTCGTGCCACTTGCCGAACAGTGCTCGAGCCGAGTGTCGAGCACCGTCGAGACTTCCATGCAGCTTGCCGAGTAACGTATGTATGTGCCAAACTCTGAGTATTGTCTATACTCACTTGTGTCGTCTGCCAAGTACTCTCAATACCTGTTCCCGCTCGAACCAAGCATTTTGCTCCTTATTTTCTCCGATTAGCACCCCAATTGTCTGCCTAATTAACACTCGACCACTGTTTGACCAATGTCTGGCTGTCTTGTGTCAATCCTCACGTGGCACTCTTTTCCGGTCACGAGTCGACAACACTCGAATTATAATCAATTTCTTCAACTAATGAGCTAACATAATACTCTTAGCAGCAATTGTTCTCAGGGTAAATTACAACCACTCCCTGAGGTATGCTCAAATTACAAAAACCTCAATCTTGTTTGGATGATAATTACATCTACCCCTCAACTATAAATCTTCTTACACCTCCACTTTTATGGTGTCAAATTCAACATAATCATCTAGATTCCGTGGAATGTGTTCTAGTTTGTACTCGTTTTGTGTAAAAATACGGTTTTTGATGCATCACAATCTGATATATACAAGCCAAAAAACACATTTTTTATGATCATCTTGCTGCAAAATGTAGAGCTCGAATGGGATAAAACGGATACTAAAGTGATAGTATTCCATATAATCAACAAGATTCCACTAAATTTGACTGCAAATGTGGACGTGTAAGAAAATTTATAGTTATGAGTGGTGGTTGTAATTATCCAAACAGAAGGAAGATTTTCGTAATTTGACCATACCTCAAGGGTGGTTGTAATTTACCCTTGTTCTTCTAATTCCACTCTTTGTTCCAATTTTGACATAAGCCCAATATTGGCTCCCCCAATTTTGTTTATCCAATTGGACTTTATCAGAATTGTTTAGTTTGGCTTTGGATCAATCGACTAAGGAATTTATTTTTTCTTAATTTTTTTAATTTTTTTAACTTTTGTGTGCGTTTTGGGTACAACACCCTAGAAGAAGTCTCCTATTTGATGTGTAAAACCATTATTAGGAAGTGGTCGATTTAATTTGGGACAGTTCAAAAGGTGTTGTTACTAAGGGGTGTGTACAAATTAAATTGTAAGGAAGATATATCCAAATATTTTATGGAACAAAGTTAAGGACAAAATAAACGACCATAAGAAATTGTCGCAACTTATGTACATATATATGACAAAATTAGATTCATTTGACTGCCCATTGACCACGAGTCTTCTCTGATTGTTTATATATATATATATATATATATATATATATATAAAGAGAGAGTAGAAAATCAATATTAATTCCAAGAAAACTAGGATTAATTAGGGCTATTCTTAAAGTTGAATTCTGTTGGAATCCGAGTTTAATTTAACTCGTTTTCCCATAAGTGGTAATTTGTATTTTTTTATAGCTTAATTAGTTTTTTCAGTTTTAATAGGACTTTTACATATGGGTTGTAACATTTAGGATTTATAACTTTCATAATTAATATAATTTTCGGAGACTCCTCTCTTTATATTTGATGGTTCTGGGTTTGTTTTGTTGTATGGATTTGATGATGCTAGAGATAGATCACCTTAAAAAGTTGAAGTATGATAAGCTGGAAGAGCAGAGTGAATCACTGGCTCACGAGCTTAATGACCTTGAGATACCTGCGATCATAGAACACGTAAACTAAGCCGGGGTTGATCTGGCAAAAGCCCCTCTGCAACTGCCCCCGAAGAACCGGATAGTAGAAATAGTCAAGATAATACATGTTATAGTATTGCTCATATAATAGGACGTACCTTAAGGAATGAGTTCAAACATTTATTTATACCTTAGTTGAGATTGTCGGGCGCAAACCTTACTTGCAGGTGATTGAGCATCGATAGTAGTTGTCTTCAATATTGGATTCGTGGCCTATTAGGTAAATAAATTATAGGCTCATTAGGTTGGCCCAATTAGGCATATCAAGATTAATTCATAGAAATTAATTATTTTCATGCTAGATGGTATAAGAGCGAGAGGTTCTTACCTCGTTCAATAACAACACATGTAACAAAACACAATAGTTGTGTTGGTGATGATCATGTGCTTGAGGCGCGCTATGGTCGACGTTCTGAAGATCCTAATATCGAAAGGTTTATCCTGCCCCGAGGTGCACATATTAGAAAAAAAAAAAAAAAACAATCTTGAACCTCTTCGTCGTCAGCTAAATAGGGGCGATGATTGAAAAATTGCTAACGAAACGATTTTAACATTTCTTATAAAATGTTTATTATACAACCAAAATTTCCACGCCGTGGCGATGAAATTCGAATGCAACACCGTACTGTTCGGGACGAGTCGGAACATGCTAATATCATAATTACATATTCTACAAGCGTCGGCCAAATCATTTGTCGAAAACTCTATTTGGCCGCGGGGTTTCTCCAAAATGACCCCTATTTTCTCTATACGATTAAATATTGCTATGTGAATTTACTATAAGATGTGAACTAATCAATATATTTCACACTAGATCAAGTACACAAATTACAAGCTCATCAATTTCTTAGCAAATATGCACCTTATTTATTCAACATGAAATATTAGAATAAGTGGAATGTATTGTCGGACTATTTATTTTAATCAATTCATGCAGTCATAAATACGTAATTAGCAATCACATAATTCAAAGTCCTTTTTTTTTGTTTAATAAATAAATTCCAGTCTACTGATAATTCACATGTAATAAATTTGTTAAAACTAAACTTCATACTACAAATCATATATATCAAACGTTAACTAGATTACACTACAATAATATAGTATATAAGTACTAAAATACCATTATCATTAATTATTTTTCAACTAACTAATTAAAATTGATAAGGGGTAAAATTGGAGAAAAAAATGCAATTAATATCAATGTTTTCAGAACCGGACCGGCTATAGAACCGGACGATCATTTGGGTTATGAGTTTATAGGGTCGAACCGGTTCAACCAGGTTTTTGATTTTTTTTAATATGCCATTATTTTATTAATTTTAATGTTTAAAAAATATTATTCTCTTTATATTTTTAATCTTCCACTTATTATATTTACTTTTATCTACTTCACCTCACCTTTTACTATGTTTTATTGTTTATACTCTATATTTTTCCATTTTTTATTCTTCAAATCCGGCAATCGGCCACCCCTATTCGATCACCCATGATCATATCCGACAATCCTTCGACCAATCATGACTAGATCCGGCCACCCACTTCTAAATCTCTGATGATTCTCTCAAATCTAGCCAGAAATAACCAACTCAGTGGTATTCGAGACGTTTTGGCTGAAAATCGGGTTCTTGACTGACTCGTCGGTTCTCATGTTTTACCCGGTCGAACCGGATTTTGGTCATTTGACCCCGGTTTTTTATTTTTTGGGTTTTAAATGTCAGACCGGATCACTTTATTGCGGAGTTACGGTCGAACCGGTCCGACCGGCCGGTTCGATTCGATTCTAACAACATTGATTAATATTAATAGATGACAATTTTTTGTTTTTCTGGGTCCAGATAGACAAATAATATAGAAGAGAGAGAAGTAAAAGAAATACTATATAAATATTCTTTCCGACAATCAATTCAATACTCCGTAAATTATATTCACATACTCAAGTATACACTGAATAAACAAATAATATAATTCTCCCCACTCAATTTTTTTTATACCTATATAATACCAATACAAGAACACACCAAAAACATATCAATCAAAAGAAAGCTAAAATAAATAGAAAAAAAAAGAAAGAATTAAATCATGGCCATCAAAATGCAACGTTCATCAGCCAAGTATGTATTGCAACACCGCCAAATCATCACACGCAGTAACTACAAAACCAAAATAATCAAGGCCACGTCATCGCCATGCGACGTGTTCATCAACCACAGAGGCACTGACACGAAGCGAACGGTGGTCTCGTTGCTGTACGACCATTTCTGCCGGATCAATCTCCGGCCTTTTCTAGACAACAAGAACATGAAACCTGGCGACAGATTGTTCGAAAAAATCGACGCTGCGATAAAGGGGTGCAAGATTGGCCTCGTTATTTTTTCGCCTCGTTATTGCGAGTCTTATTTTTGCCTTCATGAGCTGGCACTGATGACGGAGCTTAATAAGAAAACGATTCCGATTTTTTGTGACGTTAAGCCGTCGGAGCTTAAAGTGGTGCGTGACGGAAGAATGACGTCGGAGGAGTTTCGGAGGTTCGATATGGCTTTGGAAGAGGCTAAGTATACCGTCGGGCTCACCTTCGACTCTCACAAAGGGTAATTATTTATATATATATATATATATATATATATATATATATATATATATTTAATTTACATGCATGCAAGTATTTAATTAATAGAGAAAATTCTACAGTTGAACCTCGATAAATTAATAACCTCGCTTAAATAATAATTTATTTTAGTCCCAACTCCATAAAAACTACTAAACTATTAGTTCGATAATTTAATATTTCGCTAAATTAATAAAATTTTGTTAGTCACAATTGTATTAGTTTATAGAGGTTTAATTGTAATTTTCTTTTGCATGAATTTTTTATTTTATGATGCGATAAAAAGCTTGACGGATTTGCTAGTTATATGAATGCTTAAACGTTATAAATTTGATAAAATTTTGATTATGTTATAGAACGAATTTATAAATCATTTTAGATAATGAACGTTTTTTGAAAAAAATTTAAGCGTCCATATAAATAATTTTCGGCAAATTTATATTGCTGCATCATTAAACAATGGGTAAAATTCAAAGTTCGAGTGAAAAGGAATTAAAGATGCTAGTTTTGTATAGTTTATATTCCATACAAAATTGAAATAGGACTAATTAATCCTTAAGCATGTGCCATAAAGTACCGAAATTACAATTTCCCTGACAAATATATATCTAAACGACGAATATATATATATATATATATATATATATATATATATATATATATATAATTGATGAAAATGGTGGCAGGAACTGGTCGGATGTGGTTAAAAGCGTAGCAGACATTGTTACAGAGGGCTTGTTAGAGGTCGAGGAAGATGAAGATGAAGATGAAGATGAAGACGAAGAAGAGAGTGGACCAATCAGTTTTTATTATAAATAATTATTAATTAAAATCATTCTCAAAACAGATCAATTAATTTATTATTTTCGTTACTGTAAAAAAAAAAAAGACTATTAATTCCTGTTTGTTTTTATTTGTTGATACATTTTTTTTATTTTTACGCCTATTTTGTTGTCAAGTTATTTTCAAAGATTTCTGTCAAATATTTTCACCAATTATAATAAAAGAACCATGGAATAATTTAGTGATAAACTCATAAAAGTCTATTCTATTTTATTTTGTAAAAAAATATAGTTTATTTTTAGTAATTCAATGTGATTTTTATATTTTCGCACTTATTATGACACTAGAAAAGAGGTTGGATGTTGAAGATTAATAATAATTTAATTTATTATTTTCCACCGTGGAAATAAAATAAAAACAATAAAAATAATGTACTTATTAAATTTTAAATATTCAATTCATGGTTGATTGTGAATTAAAAAAAATAGGGTGATAAAGTACTATTTATTTTTAATCGGATGCAATTTCTACAAGAAATACAAATGGATTACATAATTCATCCAGATATTGTTGTGATTCCACTCGAAGAGACTTACAGAAAACTCAGAAAAATGTTAGAACAAAAAAACCAGAAAGGAATAAACATATATGAGTATAGTAAAGGTTGGAAGAGAAACAGCTCAGTCTTTCAAACTGATTCACACCAGAGATTCACTAAGGTCTCAAACCTTTACACACACACTGTCTAAGATTGTACCAATAGAGAACAAATCCCTCTCCACTCAAATCCTAACCCACCCAGATCAGAGGTAAGACCAAGAAAACGATGCACTCACCAACTCACCCACTCACCACAGACCCAACTCACAGAAGAGAGGGGTAAGACATTTGAATTAGGATTTTTCTCTAGGTCTTTTTTTCTGCCACTCATCTTCCTACATTAAATAGGAGCTCCAGTCAAAGGTGACCGTTGAAGGGACCACCACTGGGACAAGAACGGCTGAGGACGGCGGCGGTTGGCCCATGGCTGCTGGAGCAAAAGGAGAAAATAGCAGAAGGGGACAAAGAGGGAGAACATAGATTGTCTAGGGCACAAAACGGGAAATGAGAGTACAAGGGGAGAGGGAAAGTCAGCCAAAATGAATGACAAAGATCAAGTTAATCCATGGGCTCAGATTGAGCCTTCTAGCACATTCCCACTGATGGACTTATCCTCTGTTTGGGCCATTCCTTTAGACATATGTGTGTGTATTTAAAATGATTTATTGCGCTATAGGCCCAAACAAATTGGGCCACAACCATAACAAATCTCTACCTTGGACCAAAGTGTATCATTAGTGAATTTTATGGTTTATTGGAAGTCATCATTGCTGTTTTTTATATAGATGTATAACACAAAGTAATACTAGTATATCTTTCTGCTTTCACTCAGAAAGTCAGAAGTAGGTCACACAGAATTCTACATTTACAAAGAATGCAGAATTGAAATCAGACAGATAAACACATTGCAATTCACAAAGAAGAGCATGCATACAAGCAATCACACAGAAGGCTCATTTGAAAAGCAGTCAGTCACACAGACTGAAACAAAAAAATACACAACAGTTTAATCTTGAGGAATTAGGTTCAAGTTTTTCAAACAAGAACGAAATTTCTCAACTGGTAAGCACTTAGTACCCATATCAGCAGGGTTGAACTCTGAGGGGAATTTTTCAAGATCAATAATCCCTTCTTCCACAATTCTCCTAATAAAATGAAATTTGATCACAATATGTTTAGTTATATCATGGAAGACAGGGTTTTTGCACAATTGTATCCCAGATTGACTGTCAGAAAAAAAACTACCACGTTGTTCCTTAAGAAACCAATTTCAAGTAATAGGCCTTTCAGCCAGATAGCTTCTTGGAAAGCTTCAGTTGTAGCTACATACTCTGCCTCAGTAGTAGACAGAGCAACAATGCTTTGAAGCTGAGATTTTCAGCTTACACATGAACCATTGAAAGTAAATACATAACAAGTGGAGGATTTTCTGCTATCCCTACAATTGGCAAAATTAGAATCCACATACCCACAGAGTTCACTTTCAGTCTTACACTTAGAAAACAACATTAGCATAAGGCACATTCTTCATTTCAGACATTTCAGGTTCAGTCTTGGGAGACTGTTCCTTACTTAGCATAAAGTGGGCAGCAAGAGGAACAGATACAGGTTTTGCAGATTGCATAGAAAATTTCTCAAGGATTTTTTCAGTATAAGAAGATTGATTCAGAAATAATGAACAACCTTTTCTATCTCTGATTATATCCATGCCAAGTATTCTTTTAGCATTACTAAGCAATTTCATGTCAAATTCATCACTAAGACATTTAATGACATAATTGATTGTTTTAATACAAGGACTAGTGAGAAATATATCATCCACATAAAGGAGCAAGAAAACAGGAATTTGGGCAGATTGTTTGAAATACAAGCATGGATCATAGGAACTTCTCAAAAATTTCAAGGACTTCATGCATGCATCAAATCTCTTATTCCACTGTCTAGGGGACTACTTAAGACCATACAAGGATTTTTTCAATAAACACACATAATCAGGGTGATTTTTATCAAGAAAACCTTCAGGCTGTTTCATGTATACTTGCTTATCTAATTCCATGGAGAAATGCAGTCTTTACATCCATTTGTTTTAAATCCCAATCAAATTGAGCAATTAGAGCAAGCATTATTCTCACAGTAGTAAATTTCACAACAGGAGCAAATATTTCTGTGTAATCAATTTCTTCTTTTTGGGTGAACCCCTTAGCCACTAGCCTAGCCTTATATCTAATTGAATCAGATTCATGCTTTACTTTAAACAGCCACCTACAATCAACAAGAGAGCATTCAACAGGTTTTGGCACAAGAATCCAAGTATGGTTAACATGCAAAGATTCAATTTCTTCATTCATAGCATTTAACCAAGAGACAGATTCATTAGATTTAAGAGCTTCCCTATAAGAGTTAGGTTCATTACCATCCAGAGACTCAAAAACATAAAACACATATGAAGCAAGCTGATACTCATCTAAATGATGAGGCCTAATGATGTTCCTTCTACCTCTGTCCCTCGAAAGTTGTTAATCACCAAGATTGTCTACATAAGGCACATCAGTATTAGCATTTTGATCAAAAATATCATTTTCAGGCACATTGTTATCAGCTTCACTATCAGAATCAGACACAGTATCATGTTGAGCAGGAATAATGGGTAAAGTCTCCACTTCAATGGGGGTAGATTCAGAAGAAACAACAGATAGACAAGGAAATTCATTCTCATTGAATATCATATTTCTACTAATCACAGTTTTATATCCATGTTCCCCCTTAAGCCAGCACCTATAACCCTTAACCCCCTCTGGATAATCCAAAAAAATACATTTAACAAACCTGGGATCAAGTTTATCATGTTTCTGGTGCATAAAAGCAGAGCAACCAAATACTCTAAGATTAGACAAACTAACAGGAATACCAGACCACTTAGTTTCAGGTAATTCACCACATAGAGGCACATAAGGTGATCTATTGATCATATATGCAGCAGTTAAAACAGCTTCACCCCAAAACATTAGATAAGCCAGATGCATCTAACATGGACCTAACACTATCAAGTGATGTCCTATTCACCCTCTCAGCAACACCATTTTGTTGAGGGGTGTAAGCTACAGTTTTATGCCTCTTTATGCCAAACTCAACACACAAAGCATCAAATCCAGCATTACAAAATTCAGTTCCATTGTCTGCTCTCAAGATTTTAATTTTCTTTCCAGTTTGATTTTCAAAACTTTGCATGCTTTAAATCTTTGAAACACATCAGATTTATTTTTCCAGCAAGAATACAAACACTTTTCTGGAAAAATCATCAACCACAGAGAGGAAATATCTATTACCACCATGACTAGGAACTGGGGCAGGGCCCCACACATCAGCATGTATGTATTCAAGGATATCAGTGCATTTAAAAGAATTAGGGAAAGGAGACACAGGAAATTGGACTTTAGTCTGTTTTCCTAAAATGCATGAGTCACCTATGGGCAGATCAGACATACAGTCATTATCAAGATAATTGTTTTTATGCAGTAACTCAAGAATGATCATGTTTAATAAAATTAGCATGCAACAGGGGTTCAGCAAAACACACATACAAATTTTGCATTTTAATGGCTTTGAACAC